ACCTTAGACTTCGTTTTGTCTAGCTTTCTGTCACATGGGCCATGGGAAGACCGAGTCACAGTGTTGGTAATAGTAGTTGGTGGTTTCTTCTAGGGAGTTTGAGATAGTGCGTCAACAACTAAAGGAACATTTATTTGGGTAGTTCTAAGGCCCCAAAGGGCTCTCCAGGACTGTGAGGATTCATGGAGTGGGAGTTAGAGTTTTGAGAACCAAGGTAAGAGCAGTGGGTTAGGGTTCCAGGTTTGGGAGTTCCCTATCAGCCAAAAATAAATCAGAGCTACAGGTCGGCCACACCTGGACACAGGGTTTCATCCCTGATCTTCTGCTTTTCTCTTTCTGTAAATTTCATGAATGGCCTTATCTAAGTCTTCAGCTTCAACTAAAATATTGGTGACTCCAAATTCTATCTTTATGATCAACCCCACTCCCAAATTCCAGGCCCTTGTCCCAGTTGCCTATTACATGTCCTCATTTGATTGTGCCCTAGATTTCTCTAAGTATCTGAATCTGAACTTACCAAATTTTTTTTCATTAAATAAGAAAAGAATACTAGCATACAAAATTGTCGCTACTCCAATTATTCTTTTTTTTTGTCTTGGTGAATGGTACCATTGTCCATCTAGTTGCCCAAATAAGAAATTCTAGGCAGTTCCCTTTTCACTCAAAGAGTGCCCTAAGTTCTACCTCTTTCAGCCCTGTTCTGTTTTCTGTTGTATCTTTAGTTCCTAGAATGTTTTCTGTCACATAGTAAGAATTCAGCAAATATTTAGTGAGTGAAAAAACAAAGACAACAAACAGCCATTGGCTCCATAAGAAAGATGGTTAATTCAGGGAATGGAAAAGAACTTAAAAGACATTTTTAAAATAAGTATATTTGGGGAAACATTCCTGAGAAACTTCTCCATTAAGGAAGGACAGGCAGCTATGGGAAAGGAACAGCCTAAGGGAAAGAACAATTTCTTGGAAGTAACAACAACAACAACAACAAAAAGGCACCAATGGGCAGGCTGAATAATAAAACTGACACAGTTGAAGACCCAATTAATAATCTGGAAGATTTGGGCACCTGGGTGGCTCAGTTGGTTAAGTGTCTGACTCTTGATTTCGGTTCAGGTCATGATCTCAGGGTTGTGAGATCAAGCCCCACGTTGGGCTGCATGCTTAGCCCTGAGTCTGCTTAAGATTCTCTCTCTCCCTCTGCCCTTCCCGCCTCACGCTCTCTCTCTCTCTCTCTCTCTCTCAAATAAACAAATAAGTAAATCTTTAAAAAATAATCTGGAAGATTAAGGGAACAACAGAGTCTCTTAGAACATGGTGTAAAATGGCAGACAGAAATTATGAGAAAAGTTAAAATATGAAGGATGGATCCAAGAGGTTTAATACCTTTCTAATAGAGTTTTCAGGAAGCCAGACAGGTACAATGGATGTAAGACAGCATTAGAAAAGAAATAAGATAAAATTTCCATAAACTAAAGCAAAGGAACATTAAGATTCAGATGGAAAGGCCCATCAAGTGCTAAACAGGATTGAAATGAAAAGCAGAGTGTCTGTTGTTTTTATCAAATCTCAGATGCCAATGGTTAAGACACGAGCAAGGCAAAACTGCTGCCTATTAAATTATGATGTGCACACCAGTTATAAGGCATCTCAGTTTCAAAGGTGTTAAAACACTGAGTGGGACACAGAATATGTCTTAGAATTGATGAAAACAGCAGGTACATTCTGGTGAAATTTTACGTCTCTAAGAATAAAGAAGAAGAAAAAAAACAGTTTATCTATAATGAAACAAAAACAAGGAAACTAATTTTCTCATCAGCATCACTGGTTGCTACAAGCAAATAAAGCAAAGTTTTCAAAAGGAAAAAAAATTGAATCCTAGTTCTTATCTCCAACTAAAATCTCAACGGAGTGTGTAAGAGAAATAAAGATATTTTTGAACGTGTGAAAACTCAAAAAGTTTGTTATATGTGGAAACTGTTTAAAGAAATTATTCAAGAAACACTCTAACCAAATATAGAAAGAATCCAATATGCAGGATGATAAGGACCCAAGAAGGAGAAAGGAAGTGTGACTCAGAAGTAAAGGGAGCTAGAAAATGAAAAGTTGTAACATTAGGGGCACGTGGGTGGATCAGTTGGTTAAGCGTCTGCCTTCGGCTCAGGTCATGATCCCGGGGGTCCTGGGATCGAGCCCCACATCGGGCTCCCTGCTCAGTGGGGAGCCTGCTTGTCCCTTTCTCTCTGCCTGGGGCCGCTCTGCTCTCTCTCTCAATTTCTCTGTCAAATAAATAAATAAAATCTTATTTATTTTATTTAAAAAAAAAGTTGTAACTTTAGAGCAGCACTGGGAAGAATCTCCTTTTAGTAGCAAAGCTTAGTTACAGGTTTACCTTGTCTTCCCTGTGGAGCCAATTACACTTCTTGGTCTTGCAGTAAATAATGTTTGCAGAAACACATTTCACTTTTTAGATTCAGGCTGTAGATAAAGCATGGGGCACTTAATTATAGTGTGAGAACAATCCTATTGACATTAACAATGTAAAAATAACATTCCTTCCCAAAACTGGGAGGTGGAGAGAGTGAAGAGTATTAGGGGAAAAAAAAGACTAAATAAATTTCCCATCTTTCACAGCAGGGAATTAACAAATCAAAATATAGAAGTTTACACATTTTGAAATGATAATAAAGGCAACTATGATGTGAGTTAAACATTTGCAAATTAAAAAAAACCCAGGCATGTGAGGGAGAGAGACAGAGAAGGCAGAAGATAATGTGAATGCTTTAAATTCTGAATCTTTATTTGTGGAGAAGCCCAAATCAATAAAAGCTGTTATTTATTTATAATAATGATGAGAAAGATGAAAACAAAACACAATGAGCAAACAAAACCTTAACTTCTGGGAAGTGAGAATCTCAGGTTCGTGTAAGCTATTTGCAGTTCATTTAAAAAATGCATGTATTATCTATTATGAAAAATCTAAAGTAATATGAGGGGCGCCTGGGTGGCTCAGTCGAATGAGCGCCTACTCTTGATTTCAGCTCAGGTTCTGATCTCAGGGTCATAGGATTGAGCTCCTACTGGGGCTCGTGCTCAGCATGGAGTCTGCTTGAAATTCTCTCCCTCTTCCTCCCCCCAGCCCTCCGCTGCTTGCATTTGTGCCTTTCTCTAATAATAAATAAATAAAATCTTTACAAAAAAGCTGAAGTAATATGAATGAAGAAGTCAATAGGTAGTATATAGAAATAAACAGTAATATATGTTAACTGTCTGGCACATAATAGGCACTCAATAAACTATAGCTTTTAGGGCTGTTGCTACAAATTTTGTTATTTTTTATTTGTGGCGGCTGATGTTGGCTGGGTTCTCTCTGTTCCTTCAGATATAATAAAACTGGCTCAAACCCACATTCTGTGCTTTGTGGCAGCCTAGAGCATGTCCCGGGTTTTCTGCAGATGCCCACAGCATCTTCTGGTGGTTGTCACCGCGTCTAGCTCCTTCTTCCACTGAACTAAGTCAGTTTCCGAGTTTCACTGTGCTCTGCTTCCCATCCCAGTTTCCATTTTGTTTAATCAGACCTTGAATTTTATCCAATTATGCGATGTCTATTAAAACAACCTGCTCGCAGGACCACTTTGTATATGTAAATTTGAGGAGGTTGAAGAAGGTAAGCGACAGGGACCAGGCATCACCAAGATGCCATTTCAAATTAAATAGTGGCCATCACCCCTGGACACTGGTCACCCACAATGTCACCAGACGCTAGCACCACCAAGCCTTGTGGCCTTGCCTGGCCATTCTCTCTCACGCGCGCTCGCTCTCTCCTTCTCTCTTCCCAGTCCTTCTAATTACTCAGGGGAAGTTAGCTCTAAGTTCCTTTTACTCTCTTCTGCAGAACTCTCTAGCTCTTTTCCCCAGACCTGGCTCTAGACTCTCCCGGGTGGAGCCCACTTCACCAAGACGGGCAACAGATTCAGGGCCTTTTGGGTCACAGAACCCACCAGAGAGGTAGTAGTAGTAATAAGGAGCACCTTTTTCTGTCTTTTGTGTAGGAACACAGAGATAGCTAAACAAGCAGATTTTTATATTCAGTATGTTTTCTCACTGCCATCTGCTCTCAGTGCCATCTCACTAGAGATAACACTAGTGAAAATTCATTATAATTATCATTTAAATCATGTAAATCATCATTTAAAATAAAGTTTCCTTAAAGGTTATCACTACACTGAGTAATAACTGCCCACTTCATTAAAAAAAGGTATAATAGTAAAATTTGGCCAATATAGGAGTGCAGAAAAATGCACTTTAAAAAGATGGTAGTGGGGAATTCTTAATCTCAGGAAACAAACTGAGGGTTGCTGGAGTAGGGGGGCTGGGAGGGATGGGGTGGCTGGGTGATAGACATCAGGGAGGGTATGTGCTATGGTGAGCGCTGTGAATTGTGCAAGACTGTTGAATCACAGATCTGTACTTCTGAAACAAATAATGCAATATATGTTAAGAAAAAAGAAAGAAGATAGCAGGAGGGGAAGAATGAAGGGGGGGAATTCGGAGGGGGAGACGAACCACGAGAGACGATGGACTCTGAAAAACAAACTGAGGGTTCTGGAGGGGAGGGGGGTGGGAGGATGGGTTAGCCTGGTGATGGGTATTAAGGAGGGCACGTTCTGCATGGAGCACTGGGCGTTATACGCAAACAATGAATCATGGAACACTACATCAAAAACTAATGATGTAATGTATGGTGATTAACATAACAATAAAAAAATTTTAAAAAAAGATGGTAGTGGGAAAGTTGGTTTTAATGGGCTATGATTGTCCAGTTGCAAAGGCAATGTACAAAAGCCCTGGGCTTTATACATTAGGTAAGGCAGAGAAGACCCCTGCGGGACTACGGTTGGCATATTCTAAGGCTCAGTTGCCTGTCTCTAAGCTGCAGAAAAACCACATATTTATGCACTGATTTGAAATGTTATATTTACGTTGGTTTATTTTCATGCCAGGTGAGGCACGCAAAACCAGCTGAGGTACATGAAGGAAAGGTGAAATTGTCAGTGGCTAAGGTATAATAATGACTAATATGACCATTACTATTAACATGCTTATTGTTTATATTGATGCTGGCTATTCTTAAAAAGTGGCAATGACTTTGAAAGCTACACCGAGAGTGGGTCTTATGAAGAGACAAAGACCTCATTCACACTGTAATCTGATTCTGGGGTATGTCCAGGCTGGATCCAGAGAAATCTCTCTCATTCGTGATATGCCCACAATTCCACTGTTAGAGATTCATTCCTTTTGCTAAAGTTTGTCCCCTTGTAAAATATAAACAATCCTGAGAAATGGGTGACATAAAGCTCTAATGTGATTCACTTGGTCAGATCTTTTCCTGAGAACAGTTTTGGTAAGAAAAAAAGAAAGAAAGAAAGAAAATAGAGTAACTGGAGCAGCTCCTGCCTATAATGAGCTGGAGAGGTCACAGTAAGAGAGAGAAAACAAGATTTAGAAAAAGGGATACCTGGTAGGGGGAGGGGTGATGAAGAAAAGTTTTGATTGCTTTGTAATATTGCTTAGAACTGGCTGCCTTTAAATGAATCACTTACAGGACATGGCGGATGGGATCTTTAATTCTTGCAATTTATGGGGACCTGCAAGTAAATGTAACTCACTATTCCCTCAAATTATTTTTGATAGGTAGAATATGCATGCTATTTAATAGAAATAGCTTTTAAGATTTATGGAGAAAGAATATATTGTTCATGTAATTCACTTTGTGATGCATTTTCTATTGAAAGATTGAAGACAGACATATTTTGGAGGAGCAAATACAAGTACTAAAGGCTAATTTAGAAAATGAGAAAAAGAAGACAGAAAGGTACCGGTAATAATGAAGCATAATTGTTCATTTGTAGCTAATACAACATTTAACCATCTATAAATCTATTACAGATTTAAGAAAGAATCAGAACAGATAAACAAAAACTGGGAAAAGAAATTCTATATTCTCAGGAATAGGTATGTGGTGATATATATAAATTCTATTTATAAAAATGTGACTAATCTTTTAAAACGTGACTAATGTGCATTTTTCTGTGCATATTAATTAATATAAAATACCAGCATACACCTTTAACAAGAAATGCAAAATAATTGGCTTAAAATAGAAGAGTTGTCGAAGTCACTTCAAAGAAAAAATAATTCACGATTCTATTACATTCCCTATCTCCATATTTCAATTTTAAAGGATTAACAGGATAGACAGCCTCTTCTTGATATCTGGTTTAATCAGACCTACCTAGTCATCTTCCCTCATAGGGCTATTAAAACAGTTTCCTGTTTATTTGCACATGAGAATATTTAACTGGTCTAGATCTTCTTTATAAAATTGTTTTATATACTGTATCCTCTACCCTTTTACAGACAAAACAGCACCAATTCCTTAATTCTCAGATCTGTTCTTCACTCACATAATCATTTTAATTTATCTTCCCTATGTCACCTTTGTCTTTTTAAAACTGGAGTAAGTGACTACTATAAAATTCTGGAAAGGCTAAAAGCAACACCAAGTAGAGAAAATGCCTATTTTTTTTTCCTTGTCCTAACATGTTAATTTAAAACAACTATATTCTATTCTCTTGTTTCTGGCCATAATGTCGCCCAGATTCTCTTCTCTTTATCACATGTTGGAAGTTCCTTTGCAAGATTTTCTCACAGTCAAGGAGCATTCAAGACAGGATGGATTCAGTGTTGGTCTGATGTCAGAAGTCAAGTGTGAGACTCACACAGGACTTCGTAGGACGATAATGCCCTACATTTGCCCAGCACCTCATAAGCTTACACTATTATTGTGAGTGTATGAGAAAGAGGGAGAAAAAGAAATCCTATACGTTGCTGCATACATCACCCTGAAATGGTCCCAGGTGGTACACTGAGAATCCACAAGCTAGCCGGAATACCACCAGGTGGTGAGAGAAAGATCTCCTCGTGGTAACATGCACTCCTGCTTGTGCTTCACGTCTGTGCTGATAATGCTCTGTGCTCTGAAAAATGTGCATATTAATACCTGTCCTAACTGCTTCATACAGTTATTCTAAGGATAGAATATAAATACAGGTGAGAAACAAGAAACTGAGACTGGCTTAAATATGCACTTCATTTCCCCAAACATGGATTTTGGACTATCTCTGAAACTGAGTAGACTCTCTTTCCCTTACTTATTTCTGTGGAGTTCACTTTGTTTTTTTTTTTTTTTTTAAGATTTTATTTATTTGAGAGAGAGAGGGAGAACGAGTGGGGGGTGCACAGAGAGATAGGGACAAGCAGACCTCCCACCATGAAGCCGGGATTGGGATTCCGTGTGGGGCTTGATCCGAGGACCCAGAGATCACAACCTGAGCCACTTAACCGACTGAGCCACCGACTGAGCCACCCAGGCACGCCTGTGGGCTTCACTTTGATCCTTAATATTTATGCTGTGTCTGTCCCAATGGGATTCATCCCATATTTCAATGACCATTTACAAGAATGTCTCAGTGTTACTTCAAGTTGATTTGCTGTTAATCAAGATGGTCTATGTTCATTTCATCATTTTGGTCTATGCAGACTTTATGTTGCTATCTAAACATTTGGAATACCAACAAGTATGATTACATATTTTCTATATATTTTCTCAATCAACTAACTGGGACATAATGTTGGGACATAACGCATTGTCTTTCTCATGTGGTTGCATCACCAAGTGTTCATTCAAGGTAATATATAACAGAGAGAGTGCGTATATCCAGGGTACTGCATCATGGTGGGGATGGAAATTGACAGTACAGTCGCAGATCTGTATGGCTAAAATGGTCATTTCATTTCATTGTAACAGATCTTAGATCAGGCGCCATCATTTTGTTTTGTAGAGGAAAAACTTCACCTTGGCCAGGCAACGTAACAGTCGAATCCAACAATTTCTCAGACAATTCATGATTTATATTCAGCCCCAGTCCAATTCAGGGCTTCCACCTCCCAAGCTCCTTTTCTGTCTCTGCTGAGTTGGCTCTATTTCCGGGAAGATGGAACTTAAGCGGGGCCAACCAGGGCAGGAGCTAGTCTTTCCTCTTAGTGTGGCACGATGCCGCCATGGTCGCGTCTCTCGGCCCAAACGGTGTGCAGGTGTGGCACACGGGGGCAGGACTAGATCCCCACCCACCCGGTGCCGCAGTGATGCCGCCCTGAGTGTCCCGCCTCAACCCGACACCCATCAGAGCCATCCCCCAGTCCTGCCTGCTGAGCTCCTGGGGCGGGTCGGACCCACTGCTGCACATCACGCCGGCCAGGGCGCAGAGACGTTACACGCACGCCGTTCCCACACGGCAGTGGAGTGCGCGCAAACTAAGGGGTGTGCGTCCGCACCCTTTCCCTCCCACCTCCTCTCCCCGCATGCGCAGTCCCTCCCAGGGAGCTTGCTAACCGGCAGAGCCGGAGCCGCGACGTGCCCGCGCAGGCGCACTGTGCTCTCAATCTCCTCCCTCCTCCTCTCACTGTTCTAACCCCCCTCGTTCTTGGACTTGGGGAACAGGGAAAGTTAGGGAAACAGAAACCCTACGCTGCCCTTCTTTCCTCTTCTCTCCCCACTTCCCTCCCTTCTCAGGCTTCTGGCTTGCGTCTCCTGTCACAGGAGTCCTAGGACCTTTCCCGGTACACCTGACCTCCCGGTCCCGTTAGTTTCACCCCTGACAGGTTTAGATTCTTGTATCTTTGTTCTCAGCCCTTGTCAGGGTGTAGTGTGGGGGGAAAGGACGATTCGGCCCTTGGTAACTTGTCGCTCATTGCTACCTGAGTATACCCACAACACGTTCATTGTCTATGAAATTCAAGATTCACAGAAATGCCAAAGCCAAATCAGAATAAATCTGGAGTCTTGGGCACTCGGTGGTTATTCTGAGTATTGTGCCTTCCTCTAAATTCAGCTGTCTGTAGTCTCAAAAGCTAGGCCCTGGGCAGGTGAGGGGATGGTGTGGGGTTGGCTCATGAAGTTCAGAGTGTTCAGCTGATGGTGATCCAAGATGCAGTTTCCCAGGGTGAGAAGTGAGGGGAATTGGAATCAAAAGCAGACATGGCTGTTGATGGTAGCTTTATTTATAACCACCCAAAATCGGAAGCAACCAAGAGGTCTTTTAGGAGGCGAATGGGTACATTGTGCTATGTCCAGACCTAAAAAGAAATGAGCGATCAGGCCGTGACAAGACATAGAGGAAGCTTAAACGTATATTACGAGGTAAAAGAAGCCAGTCTGAAAAGGCCATAATCCTATATGACATGCTGGAAAAGGTAAAACTATGGAGACAGCGAAAGAATCGGTTGCCAGGGGCTCGAGGGTAGGGAGAGATGAGTCGGTGGAGCACAGAGGATTTTGAGGGCAGTGACACTGCTCTGCATGATACTACAAAGTAAGTACATGCCATTACACATTTGTTAAAACCCATAAAATGTATGACACCAAGACCAAACCCTAATGTCAACTATGGATTTTGAGCCATACGATGTGTCAGTGTAGATTCATTGATTGTAACTAATGTACCACTCTGTTGGTTGTTAACAGTCAGGGAAGCCATCCATGTGGGGGGGCAGGAAGTATATGGGAAATCTCTGTACCTTGTTCTCCATTTGCTGTGAATCTAAAACTGCTCTAAAAAATCAAGTGTGTTAATAGCCAAACTGTGGAAAGAGCCAAGATGTCCATCGACAGATGAATGGATAAAGAAGGTGTGGTATATATACACAATGGAATATTATGCAGCCATCAAAAGGAATAAGATCTTACCATTTTCAATGACGTGGATGGAACTGGAGGGTGTTACGCTGAGTGAAATAAGTCAATCAGAGAAAGACATGTATCATATGACCTCACTGATATGAGGAATTCTTAATCTCAGGAAACAAACTGAGGGTTCCTGGAGTGGCGGGGGGTGGGAGGGAGGGGGTGGCTGGGTGATAGACACTGGGGAGGGTATGTGCTATGGTGAGCACTGTGAATTGTACAAGACTGTTGAATCACAGATCTGTACTTCTGAAACAAATAATGCAATATATTTGTTAAGAAAAAAAAAGAAGATGAAGATAGCAGGAGGTGAAGAACGAAGGGGAGTAAGTCAGACGGGGAGACGAACCATGAAAGACAATGGACTCTGAAAAACACACTGAGGGTTCTAGAGGGGAGGGGGGGTGGGGGGATGGGTTAGCCTGGTGATGGGTATTAAAGAGGGCACGTTCTGCGTGGAGCACTGGGTGTTATGCACAAACAATGAATCATGGAACACTACATCCAAAGCTAATGATGTAATGTATGGTGATTAACATAACAATAAAAATTTTTAAAAATTAAGTGTGTTTAAAAAATGAAAAAGAAAAAGAAAAAAGCTAAGCAGACACCAAATGAAGGTGTCAGTCTGAAGGTGCTGTTCAGAGAAGTAGGATCCACAGTGAGTAGTAACTGGGGGCTCCGGGACAGAGGGGATGGTTTAAGGTGGAGGTACGTGGTACGTGGTAGAGTGTGGAGGGAGGTCCACCATCTCTGAAGGGGTGCAGCGATCCTTTTTGCCCCCTGGTTCTTGCAGTTTCCGAGGCTGAGTGTGGGGAACAGGCTATTACGATCACCAAACAAGACTCAGAACTGAATTTTCCAGTGTCTTTTTTTAGCTGAGGGGAGTGTACTTCATTCTTGGAATATATTTATCCATTCCTTTTTTTTTTTTAAGGATTTTATTTATCTGCCAGACAGAGAGGGAGAGTACAAGCAGGGGAAGTGGCAGGCAGAGGGAGAAGCAGGCTCCCCACTAAGGAAGGAGCCCGATGTGGGACTCAATCCCAGGACCCCGAGACCATGACCCGAGCCGAAGGCAGACGCCCAACCATCTGAGCCACCCTAAATTTCTCAACCGGAAGTCCTTGCCGCAGTTTAGCCAGCCTACTGCCCAAAAGATACACTTTGTTACTTGGAAATAGATCCTTTCTCAAGCAATCATCTTCAT